TAGTGTATGTACTTCCAGAACATAGCACATAGTGTATGTACTTCCAGAACATGACACATAGTAATTATATTCCAGAACATGACACATAGTGTATGTACTTCCAGAACATAGCACATAGTGTATGTACTTCCAGAACATGACACATAGTAATTATAATCCAGAAAATGACACATAGTAATTATATTCCAGAACATGATACATAGTGTATGTACTTCCAGAACATAGCACATAGTGTATGTACTTCCAGAACATGACACATAGTAATTATATTCCAGAACATGACACATAGTGTATGTACTTCCAGAACATAGCACATAGTGTATGTACTTCCAGAACATGACACATAGTAATTATAATCCAGAAAATGACACATAGTAATTATATTCCAGAACATGACACATAGTGTATGTACTTCCAGAACATAGCACATAGTAATTATATTCCAGAAAATGATACATAGTAATTATATTCCAGAACATGACACATAGTGTATGTACTTCCAGAACATGGCACATAGTAATTATATTCCAGAAAATGATACATAGTAATTATATTCCAGAACATAACACATAGTAATTATATTCCAGAACATGACACATAGTGTATGTACTTCCATAACATGGCACATAGTGTATGTACTTCCAGAATATGGTACATAGTTATTATATTCCAGAACATGACACATGGTGTATATGCTTCTAGAACATGACACATAGTGTATGTACTTCCAAAACATGACACAGTAAATGTACTTCCAGAACATGACACAGTATATGTACTTCCAGAACATGGCACATAGTAATTATATTCCAGAACATGACACATAGTGTATGTGCTCTTAGAACATGACACATAGTGTATGTGCTTCTAGAACATGACACAGTATATGTACTTCCATAACATGATGTAAAAATTTAATTTTGTTTGATTCTGATGAATAATAACGTACATGTCGGTCTCAAGGGGATGCTATCAACAAATCTTTTCCATTTGTAAACACCTACACAATAAACAGAATGAGTGAATGTAGATTGAAAATTACAAATAAACATTGCAAATTTGATTGTTCATATAGCTCAATTTTCGACCCCCACTAACAACAATGTGCTTGTTTGTTTACTATTGTCTGTCAATCGAGAAACGGTTACATAACAAATAAATAGTTCAGGCTACACAGTACAAATATTTTTAGGTTTGACAAGTCAATGAATATACAAGAATTTGTATTTTTTTTTGAAATATGATGTACTAGTATGTTGAACTACAATTGTTCGATGATCGAGACATATTGTTATCATTTTAGATTCTTATCAAATCGAAAGTTTGGATGTGAGTGACAATTCATATCATCTTACGAATGAGGAGACACAAGATGATAGTGGACTTGTTGCTATGATACAAAGTAGTTCCTTGGCAAGGCTAAATATCAATCATTGTAAACTTGGAAGTAAGTATTTATTTGTCCCCATCAGATGTAGTTTGAAATGGGGACTTATGTTTTTGGGTTTGACCTTCTATTGTTCAATATATTTTTTCAGACATGCCTGGAACAAATTTGTTAATCGTTGGTACAAAAGCAAGTAGTTTTGGTTCACACTGTTATGTATTTGAATGCCATGCTCAACTGTACTGTACACCTTATTAGGTGCTCCCAATATGACTACAGATCTCAAACAAATTAAGAAACTACCATCTTTTTAATTAATGTAAATTACTTTATATTTAATTGAGATTTATTTTTGCTATTTTTGCTGAAGGAATGAATCAGTGGAAATAAAATCCAGTGAAAATACATTTTTCCTATATTTTACAATTCAACTTATCAAAATTTAGTGAAAATATAATCCAGTGAAAAAAACAGTCAAAATATCTTTTCAGTGAAATTTTTTTCAGCAAAAATAAAGTATTTTACAGTACTGGGTGCAATATACACCAGCATATCTTTATCTTGTAAAATATAGTAACAATATTCCAACAAAGCAGTAAAAATTAGAATTAGTTGATGTTTACTTATGTTCTTCCACTTATACTGCCCTCTATATTTTGCACAACATAAACTTTTGTTTTCATGGTTTTCCTTGTTGTTAGACTTGTCTAGTAGATTGGTTGATGCATTACGACTGAATACAAATTTGAGAGTGCTATGGATTGCAGAGAACAGACTAGGTATGTACCAACATGTGACAGACACACATTTGAGTCCAAGGAGCTAGAGAACTCCTCTGTTGTTTGCTGTAACGCTGTCCTTGTTGTTATTCTTCATAGGTGACAGCAATGTCATTAAACTTGGCAGTGTTTTCCAAACTGAAGACAATAAATGCATATCAAATATTGAAGTCCTAGACATCAGGTAAGAAGTAGATACTATCTAAATACTGTAAGTTTATCACATGATATACCTTGGTTGTAGAGCCAGTAACAGAGGTCCAAGTCTCATTAAAGAATACCGTTATATATCATTATCATTTCATGCCATAAAAATACCGAAAAATAGAGAAGAAAAAAATCATCAAACAATGATTTGAAATGTGGGAAATGGTCAAAATTGGCATTTTTACTCTGATTTCCAACATGAAAGGAAAAAAGCAGAAAAAACGTTTTTTTAATAATCAGCAAAACATCTTAACGAACTGCTATTAGGTTTTACAGTTAGTGTTGTGACATGAGAATACCATATTTGCTTTATTAGAAGCACATCTCTAATAGAAACACCTAAACCAAATATTGCATTTATTGTATGCTGGATAATATGATTTGTTTTGTCTATATACATATCTTCTGTCACATACATGAGCATATGCACTACTAATTGGTTAAATAGCCTCCATTTTAATGTCAAAAAAATGCATCAAAATCAAACATGTCTGCCAATCTGGTACATATTTTAATCAGATTTAGTACATACATTGAATATCATGGGACTTGATGCATATAATTTCTTTCAAATATTGGATTCAAAATGGCTGACTAGTGACCATTTTGCTGTAATGAATGTGATTCCAGTGCTGTTTCTCTGACGTGTCTTGACCAATCTCATTATCAGAAAAAAACTGGCTCCAGTTTGTATCATTTCTGTCATATGAGTGTCAGTCAAAATAAATAGTAATATCAATGAATATGTGTTATCAGCCATCATACCACCAACTAGAAGTGTAACACCACACTACTGATGTATCCTTCTGTCATACTAACCACTAAGGGACCACGTCAAAAGATCGATGCCGGATAAAAAACTTATTTGCTTTAGTTTGGGGGTTGGGGGTTTTGACCTCAAAAAGTTCATCCTACAATTTTATTTTTTAATGAAGTCAAAAAAATCTTTGAGTATTTGTAGTTCGTTTTTTTCTATCCAATCATGGACAGAAATAACAGAAAATAAATAAAAAAACATCCAAGACAAGAAAATGGTTTGGTCTGAGTGTAACTACTAGTATGTGCTTCAAATGAGGTCAATTTCAGGACTTTTTACACCCACCCGACAATCAACTGCTATGTCATACTACTGTCCGATTATCAATTTGTATTTAATGCTGAATGTAGTCTGACGCCATGATCAATATTTATCAATTAAGTTTCGGGGGGGGGGGGGGGCTAAAGGAATTCAGTTTTTTATCCTACATTGAACTTTCGATGTTGTCCCTAACAATTCTGACTTTTAAATTCTTCATTGCTTTATTCTGCAATTGCATAAAAATTGTTTTGTTTCATAATCCACCTTTTTCTTTGGGAAGTCTGATGTTTAGCCAGATTAAAGTTCACTTTGAAAGAGTACCAACAGGGACTATGTCATTTTTATTGACTTGTATATATTATATTGAATATGACATTCAACATATAAGTAGCAATATTTCACACAATTAAAACGTCACAGCTGTGAATGCTATGCACCCTGCTCACATAGATATGATTGATTCTCCCATTCAAATCATTTTGTCACTGTCGTGCATATTGTTTTGTTTTGTAACAAAGAGAAGAATCCTCTAACTGCTGTTCAGTACCAAACCACATTTATCGAATTCCACATTTATTATATTTTGACCTTGCCACGTCAATAATTTTGTTAATTTCAGTAAATGTTGTCTGATTTCCCAATTTAAATAATACTTGCTCTCTGCAATGAAAATTACCACATTTTCCATACATACACCTCTTCTGCATGAAAACATGAACTTCACCAATTCACGTTTTTTTGTAAGTGACCTATGGCAACAAAACCTTTCTGTCATGTAACTTAGTGAAGATTGTTGTTGATATTGTTCTGATATTAGATTTGTTATGACGACGTAGCTTTACATTATCACATAATAATGTAATCCTTTATTTGTAAGTAAATTCATTTTAACAACAACAACAAAAATTTTACTAAATCTATTCAATTCTGATAGTGTTAATATATATATATATATCGGTGTATATATTTATAACAAAAATAATGAATTCATCACATTGTCATTTTCAAAATGATCTAATAGTGATTATGTGATCAGGTTCACCACACACGTTATCCTAGTTGACATAAACCCTTTTCATCTAATATGGTGTTGTGGGGGATTCGTTTTGGTTTAAATAATAATTGAAAATAATGTTTTTGAGAAATTTGCTATATTATAAATGATGCATGATTAACATAGCCAAACACAGTTGGCATTTTGAACAATATTGGTTTTACCAATTTACATCATTTTGATATCACTGAAGAACTTTTATGACAATACCATGTTGTCTAGTATGTAAAATGGCTTATGTTTTGCTTAATATGTAAAGCCACGATAGGTAAGAGTTATAATGCATGTTTTGTTTACTTGTTATTTCATGTAAGACTGAGTGAGATGTGATATGAAATAAAATGAAATGAAAACTGATTCACATGGCATAAAATGTTAGGGTGTACATGCTATAGATATAACAGCACCTAGACAGCTGAATATGTATATGCAAACAGCACCTAGAATGCTGGCTATAGATATGCAAACAGCACCTAGACAGCTGACTATGCATATGCAAACAGCACCTAGACAGCTGACTATGCATATGCAAATAGTAACTAGAAAGCTGACTATGCATATGCAAACAGCACCTAGACAGCTGACTATGCATATGCAAATAGTAACTAGAAAGCTGACTATGCATATGCAAACAGCACCTAGACAGCTGACTATGCATATGCAAATAGTAACTAGAAAGCTGACTATGCATATGCAAATAGTAACTAGAATGCTGACTATGCATATGCAAACAGCACCTAGACAGCTGGCTATGCATATGCAAACAGCACCTAGACAGCTGGCTATGCATATGCAAACAGCACCTAGACAGCTAACTATGCATATGCAAACAGCACCTAGACAGCTGACTATGCATATGCAAACAGCCCCTAGACGGCTGACTATGCATATGCAAACTGCACCTAGACAGCTGGCTATGCATATGCAAACAGCCCCTAGACAGCTGACTATGCATATGCAAACAGCACCTAGACAGCTGACTATGCATATGCAAACAGCACCTAGACAGCTGGCTATGCATATGCAAACAGCACCTAGACAGCTAACTATGCATATGCAAACAGCACCTAGACAGCTAACTATGCATATGCAAATAGTAACTAGAAAGCTGACTATGCATATGCAAATAGTAACTAGAAAGCTGACTATGCATATGCAAACAGCACCTAGACAGCTGGCTATGCATATGCAAATAGTAACTAGAAAGCTGACTATGCATATGCAAACTGCACCTAGACAGCTGGCTATGCATATGCAAACAGCCCCTAGACAGCTGACTATGCATATGCAAACAGCACCTAGACAGCTGACTATGCATATGCAAACAGCACCTAGACAGCTGGCTATGCATATGCAAACAGCACCTAGACAGCTAACTATGCATATGCAAACAGCACCTAGACAGCTGACTATGCATATGCAAACAGCACCTAGACAGCTGACTATGCATATGCAAATAGTAACTAGAAAGCTGACTATGCATATGCAAACAGCACCTAGACAGCTGACTATGCATATGCAAATAGTAACTAGAAAGCTGACTATGCATATGCAAATAGTAACTAGAATGCTGACTATGCATATGCAAACAGTACCTAGACAGCTGGCTATGCATATGCAAACAGCACCTAGACAGCTAACTATGCATATGCAAACAGCACCTAGACAGCTAACTATGCATATGCAAACTGCACCTAGACAGCTGGCTATGCATATGCAAACAGCCCCTAGACAGCTGACTATGCATATGCAAACAGCACCTAGACAGCTGACTATGCATATGCAAACAGCACCTAGACAGCTAACTATGCATATGCAAACAGCACCTAGACGGCTGACTATGCATATGCAAATAGTAACTAGAATGCTGACTATGCATATGCAAACAGCAGCTAGACAGTGTCCATGCATGTGCAAACAGCACCTAGACAGTTTCTATGCATGTGCAAACAGCACCTAGACGGCTGACTATGCATATGCAAACAGCACCTAGACAGCTGACTATGCATATGCAAACAGCACCTATACGGCTGACTATGCATATGCAAACAGCACCTAGACGGCTGACTATGCATATGCAAACAGCACCTATACGGCTGACTATGCATATGCAAACAGCACCTATACGGCTGACTATGCATATGCAAACAGCACCTAGACAGTTGACTATGCATATGCAAACAGCACCTAGACAGTTGACTATAGATATGCAAACAGCACCTAGACAGCTGACTATGCATATGCAAACAGCACCTAGACAGCTGACTATGCATATGCAAACAGCACCTATACGGCTGACTATGCATATGCAAACAGCACCTAGACAGCTGGCTATGCATATGCAAACAGCACCTAGACAGTTTGTTTAAACTATATGAGAACACTTTCAGCAGATTATGACAATGGAATTATTCTTTGATGCTCACATGTCAATGTAATCAATCAACTGATTAATTTTGTCTTCAGTTCTAACTGCATTACCGCCAATGGACTGCTACAGTTTGCATCGTCACTGAAACCCAAGTGCAGTGATAGGAAGCTAAGGGACGTCGCCGTGTATGGCAACTGGTTCGGTAATAACAATGAAAATGTTGCGCCAGTGAAGACCGAACTAGAAAAATTGGTGAATGTGGTAAGAATGGCGTCTACTTTGCTGGCCACTGAGGGGTCTACTGCCGAACATGCCTCACAGATGTAATTATAGTGGTTCATGGGTTCAGAATATTGTTATTAGAGATATCATACATCAAAACTATGCATCAAGATTGACATTTTATTGGAGTAATATTTAACATAAAACACTCTAAAATAATCTTGTTGGTATTGTGAGATCTATTGTATTAAATTTATTTGTTCAATATCGGATTTCATATTGTATATATTGTAATTCTATTTTACTGAACTGGATTATATCACGTGATTGTCACTGTTTGTACTCAAGGATCTATAGACCTTTTTATTTCACAGGTGACATAGGAATCACCACAAGTCGGATAAAATTAAAAAATTTTGAAGCCGTTATTTCATTGGGGTTTTAAAGACATTGAGTCACAGTGAAATTTATACCATTAAATCATTGTATTGAAAAAAACAATCCTATGGTAGCAGGGTAAATTTATATGATATACTGTAAAATACTTTATTTTAGCTGGAATTTATTTTCGCTTTAAAGTGTTTTTGAGTGTTTTGTATGGAATTTATTTTCACTGATTTTTGATGAATGTAAATTATAGGAAAAAGGGTATTTTAGCTGGATTTTATTTTCACTGAATCATTCCTTCAGCGAAAATAAATTCCAAGCGAAAATAAAGTATTTTACAGTAGTATATGTTCTGAAATTTAGAAAAAACTCATGTGAATATTTTAAAAATAACAATTAACAATCATTAATGTTTTGAAATGATTTTTGACATGTTTTATGCAATCATATAACATGGTCTACAGAGTGAGTTGATGTCTGACGCTAACCCACCACGTTGTCATAGCATTCCAGTGTCAATTTTAAAGTGCAGTGGTCGTCTCGCAGCGCGTGTTCGAATTTCATGTAAATAAACAATGTATTTTACACGCGTTGTATGCGTCGCTATGAGTCCCATATCGAACAGGACGTGGCGCGACGACTGCCGCGCTTTAAATTTACAAAATAAATATTTCATTTTCATTTCAGAAATACATCAATTCATATTGCATTTTGATTGTAAGCATCAAATATTGTGTTCACTGCAAGTAAAAAAAAGACAATTTAAACTTCTGTAAATACTGTCCTTTACTAGCAGAAATGTGTTTTTGTTACTTTTTTAGCCATAGAGGGCTCATATCTGATTATCGTTAGTGTCATTATGATGTCAACGATGAATAATTGGGGTCACTGGGCAATTTTCTGAGAAACAAGAGTTTTTGCCCTGGTTTGTATGTTTTCAAATTTGCTTGGTAATATTGGATAAAAAAGTCATTTGTTTTCATTGATATGTAAATTAATATTGGTGAAATATGTTTTTCTTAAATGACATTGAATTCATTGAATTCCCAGTGTTACTAGTAGTTTTTCATTCTCCCATAAGACATTGCATGTATGCATACTAACATACTCAGTAATGTGAAATTTAATTTTGACTCGCACTGCCTTCATCATTATGAATGAAAGTTATTGATATTCTCATAGAAAGTGTACACAGTTGGATATTTCAATCATTCTCTGGGTATGTGGCAATTATTTTCTGAACTCTTGGCAAGACACTGTAGATGGTAGTTGTAAAATACATGAAATTTTCTTGAATCAGTATGGTCATGTGATAGCTTTGTGTACTTTCACTGACTGATTGAAAATGAAAAAAAGGGTATGGTCAAAACAGCATTGCATAGCCCCCCCCCCCCCCCCGAACAGATGGTGACTTGATTTTTGAATAATGTACAATCTGTATTTTCAAGTTTGTTGTGTTTAATGTCATAGTTATTTTGTGTCATCTCAACTGGTTTTATGTTTCTGTTGTGATATTTAATCCTGGTACAATCAGAAGGCCATTACTCATACTTCTGATGTTGCGCTTTGTCCACCATGTAGCTAGGGAGCCTTAAAGCATGCTTAGGTTAAGTAAAATATTATTATTGTAAACAAAAGTTTATGTGCCACACCTAATTTTTTTATTTGATGTTAAGGACTGAGATTGTTTGATGATAGTTCAACCAGGTTGAATTTCGGAGAATAAACTTAAATCTATCATTTTGGGTTTGTAATATGAAATATGGTGAAATTTGGAACAGAGAAAAAAAATGTAAAAAATATCTACAGTGAAAATAACAGAAATAAATGTTTATAAAACCCATACACATTTGAAGGAGAACATTTTGTTTTTGAAATAAATCTATCTCAGAGCTATGAAAGAAATCAATGATTACACAGTTACTCAATTACAAAAACAAAAAACATAATTGACACGCCTTTAAAAGACTGATTAGTTGTTATTCCCACATCACCCTCCATCAACCCTCGCCTCCCTCACAAACAATGGAATGTTTCATGCTGTATTCATATAACAGCTGCTAGTAAAAAAAACGTGGGAGGCTTTGAAGATAGACAGGGATCATTTTTTCTCAATAGTGAATACACAAAGATGATATATGGGTCATGTCAGGGACGGGCCATTGTTTATTATGGGGATGATGAGGTTTAAAATGTCAGAAGATTGTTTTGTTATGTGACATTTGTTTCAATGAAGAATTGTATTAATTCGAGTAGATTATATTGACAGTCTCAAACCGTTAATATGAACAATTCCTCACCCCCCCTCCCAAACAAAAAACATTGTTCCATCCCTTGTCATAGTTTGGTAGTCAGAGTGATGCTTCAGTTCCAGCCAATAGACAATGGTCAATTGATGATACCAGTTTTGAATACTGACATTGTACTTTGCTGTGATTCATTCAATTGGAATGCAACAAAAGTATATCACTGGAGGTGACAGGGAAATAAATACCCACATATTACCAATGAAATATACAAACCCTTGCTGTCTACAATGTACTGCCAGTGAACTCTGTGCAAACACTGAGGATTTGGTTTCCCAATCCCATACACATCTATATTCCTATCCCCTCTTGTTTTAAAACGATTAGGGTATTAACATTTCTGCATCATTCTGTACTGATGCTTCTTGATATTTCAGGGGATATTCATCGAAAAATCACTGCCTTGAAGTGGATGTCAAAATATGAAGCATATATTTAAAACCACATGCTATATCGGAGGTGGCAGCACCGGGTGAGGGGTTGTGTTGCCAACCCGATAAAAAATGGTGAGGGCACCCCCCTCCAATCATACTGGGACCCTTTGTGTCAGCAACATTTGCCTCTCAAAATGCAAGAAATAGCGTTTCCCCTCATGCAAAATTGTTTCCACTGCCTCAAACATGGATGAGTATAATAGCTTTTTAGCCCCTCACCACTGATTTGGATTATCCCTTGAATAGTATATTCACATAACAATAGATACAGATCACTGGCGTAAAATTATTATGTTGATTATTATGTTTTGCAGTAGCAATGGTTTAATACGTTGTTGGAACGTGTTTCAATTTGATACTATGCTTTGTCGCAGAATAATAGGCCATCCATGGATGTATTAACGGTCTTAACTAGTGGTGAAACTCGGCTGGAAAAGACTTCTCTGTAAACGCATGTACGTGGATTTAGTAACGCTGAGCGTATTTCGTACATTTCAGCCGGAAATTCTGCAGTGTTTTCTGGAAATCGTGGTTTTAGCCATTCTAACGAGGTCCGGCTCATGTAAACAAATGGTTAGCTAGGATGTTTAAAGCACGTGTAAATGATGGTTTGAAAGAAATAACAGAGAGAATTTATTAATCAAAAATGTCATAACACCCTCCCCGCTATTCATTAAGTGTGTATACATGTATTTAATAAATGACTTTTCCGGATTATATTGTAGTGTAGTTTTACATTTTATGTGAAAAACAAAACACAGCCAGAAGTGTTTTTCTAATAAAATTGCAATACTGATATCAGCCGAACTTATATTTGAACTATCAAAATTCAGATTTTGTTTGCAAAACATGTGAGCTGACTGCTGACCGGGTTTCGTTCTCAGTAATCACGAATAATTGAGTGATTTTGGTTACGTTACAAAGTTGAAATGTAGTGTCTGAATTAATATTCTTTGTCAAATCACAATTACGGGTCACTCTAAATTACTCAGTATTTATCAGCCAGTAAACTCCGACTTTTCTTCGTGAAACTAACTCCTAGGGATACTTCATTCATTCACGGCGTGTCCGTCAGGAATAATTGCAGGGGTTTTAGACTAATTTGGTGACTCATCCACACTGACCATGCCTATGATTCAACCGGCGCTTGGACCACTGCCAACGACAGACAGTCCCGCTGTTTTCAAATCAAGAGTACTTTATTATTATTTAAAAATCGATAATATGTATATACTAAGATTAAAACACCAGTATATATATATACGAATATATGATACGAACACGTTTTATACAAATTTTAATGGCATATCCCCTGCCATTAGCATGGTCTTAGGCGTTACCGGTCGTGATAAACTAAGCGTGATCGGATGGGGAGTGTGCTAAAGGGGAGACTGTGCAAATCATTTCATACAATTCCGTGGATTCAATTGTAGATGATTTCACCGGAAAAGACGTTGTTGTTGGACAACTCGAGATTATTCTGTTATATGAAAGAAAAATTAATGCTGCCCGAGCTGATATTTGTTTTGTTGATAATTTGCATGATTTTAGGGAATGACCAATTTGTAGAATTTGTGATGTCGACGTCGTCTATTTGCAGTGTAGGCTTTAGTATTGGGCTCAGACAACCAATTATTAGTTATCTGAGTATTGGGTTACCAAGTACTTCACACTCGATGTGAATACTCAGTAGCGTATGAGGGTTGTTCTGTCAACCTGCGATTTTATCGTGACCAGTCATGAACTGAAACACAGTCCCCCAACAACTTGTTGAGGGACTGTCACTGAAACAGAACACTCTATCATAACACATTTTATCTCTGTTAGTACGCCCTCCCATATCCTAATTACCAATGTATCCTTGAGCTCTTATTGGAGTAAACTGAGTTTTCAGAAAAGTAAATCGCACCTACCTAGTGCGATTTTCGGAGTAAGTTAATACGTCGTTTTTTTTTTTTTTTTTTATTCAAGTCAGTTT